CATATCATCCAATCCTTAAAAAAAAAAACAAACCCCAAAAAACAAAAAACAAGAAAACTCAGGAGATGGATGCTGTAACTATCACTGTGCTCACTTCACAGCTGTGGTAATCTAAGTGATTTAGTGACTTGCCCAAAGTCACACCGACTTCTAGGGGCAGAGTTAAAACTTAAACCCAGGTTTTTTTTTTTAACTTTCTTCTCCCCCACCCGCCATATTAGTTTGTCTCTTCATTTTATTCACGGGTTAAATTATGGTGACAAAGGGCCCTGTCACCTTCTGAGCATTCCTCAGAGCGAGTCATAGAGACAGCTGCCTAAGGGGAGCTCCTTCCTTTCCTGTCAGCAGACTCACCTTCTAAGATCTGAGGGCAGAGAGAGGATAATTCAGGTACATGCCTGGGTCTTAGTGCTTAAAGGCCTTATAGAGGGGTTACAGATCCGGTCTCAATTAAACCAGCATCAGCTTAAGACTCCACATTAGCTTGAGGACTCAAGTTTCCAGCTATAGGATTACTACCCAGTGACCACCTGTTGTATTTCCCACAATGAAGGGGACCTAGGGGTGATAGGATAATTGGCAGAATTAAAGGATAAAAAAATGGGAGAAAGTTAAAAATGAAGAATTATGTAGGAGTTTAGTTGAATTATTAGAGGTAAGGGATAGAAAAGAGCTTTCACACTGTATGCCAGCTCTGATGAATTGTGACTCCTTGCCAGGCTGTGTTGAGAACAATTCTAAGGCTGAATCGGAGTACAGAAAAAAGGAATACGGTATTCCCTGGCAAGGTCTGCTGTTGGTTCAGGTGCAGAGTGGGAACACTTGAGCCACGTAGTGTGGCTGACCTCCTGGCGTAAAGCTTATAAAAAAGGAGAAAGGAAGAAAGGAGATCAAAGTGAAAAGTATTTCAAAATTCAAGAATTAGACAAGGTGGTCTGAGGTGAGGCATCAGCAGCAAGAGCGAAGTCTACCACAAAGTCTAGGTTCAATAGGAAAACAAGTTCTGTGCAGAGGAGTGGGATGGACACCGCCACATGGAATGAAGACGGTATTTACCCGTGTGGGTTCCATTTTACCTGAAGACCAGAAGCCTCAGGTCAACAGCCAGGGGTGAAGTCCAAGAGTACCCCCAGCCTCCAGCATCTAAGTAAAAGAGATGTGTACCAGGAAAAGGTCTGCCTGGGGGCCTCCTCCCCACCCCTGAATCCTCAAGCCAGCTCCCAGCCCCCACTACGGAGAGGTCTGAGTGATCTAGGAGTTCACTAAGACAGGGGAGGCGGCACCTTGCTAGGTAGGCCGAACAGCAAGTGCTTTGTCTCAGGATGGACATCTGAATGCACGCAAAAGAGGCCAGAGGAAAAGGAAGCCTTAAGTGGCCAGTGTGGGCGGGTGTGCGTGCGTGTGCAGGGGCACGCCACTGCCTGGCCTTCCCTCTAAATGCAGACCAGGCCTCGGTAATCCCTTCGCCGCTCAGCCACCCTCCATCAGCCAACCAGCAAAACACAGCCCCCATTCTGCTCAGGAATGTGCTTTCGGAAACTTAATCTAACTGCCGGGTCTGGGCCAAATCCCCCATGGCACGAACCCAAAGACAGCACCCCGTTCTGCCGCTGCTCCCGCCTTCCCGCTGCCTCCTCCAAGCCCAGGAGGCTGCAGTTCCACCCCACTGACTCCCTGTTCTCTGGGATGCGGCCCCTCGAAGCCCGCTCTCTCCGTCTCCAGCGCTTCTCGGGCCCTCTGGTCAGCCCCAAACGTGTCACTTCTGATTCATGTCTCAATGACGAGCCAACAGCTCTTGGCTTTCAAGCAAGACTCTCTGGGCTTCTGCACAAGCCTCCTCTTCTCTCACTGTGCCTTCTGGGTTGCAACCAAACCCTCCCTTTTGTCCTCACTGCCAACCGCAGATCCCTTCGAGCACCAGAGAAAGAAGTGGCCAGGAATTTTTTAGAAATAAAGGCTAAAAATGGTCTCTCCTCACACAGATACACCTTGAAGCAGAAGGAGGGCTCCACCATAAATCTTCAACTCTCCAACTATCCCTTCCTCCATATAAAAGGTTCAGGCTGGCTCCTAATTAGGCCGAATGAATGGTTATGGAGTTTCCTGAGTCTCCACAGACACGTGCTGACCATTTGCAGATGAGCAATCCTTGTAGATGAGCAGGATTATCCTTTAAAGGCACGAACACTGCTAAAAGGCACATCTTACTTGTAATAAGAAACTAATGGAAGCGACCTAATTGCACACGAATAGAAAAAGTGCTCAGTACATATGACAGAGTCCCTCAGGGGATGTTCTAGGGCCATCAGTAACTATGAACCTGCTCTGATGGGGGTTTAAGGTAGGGGGGCAGGTTAACTAGTGAAGGGCATGGGCAAACCTTCTAGAGTGATGGCCACACAATTGTATACATATGAAAAATGCATCAGGCTATTCACTTATTAGTGCACTGTGTGTACTTTACTGGATGCATTTTATACTCACTACAAAAGAACAAGTAAATATGGTCATACGGCCAACAGAAAAATGCTAATCACACAATGTCAAGGGGGAGAGAATAAGGATAGAAACTGTATATTCACTAGTATCATTAAAATAGTGTGAAGGTACGGGCATGCCATTATGCTAATTGAGTAAGTCAGAGACAAATACCCCATGATTTCACTCACAGGTAGCATCTAAAAAATAAACAAAGCAGGGGCACCTGGGTGGCGCAGTCGGTTAAGCGTCCGACTTCAGCCAGGTCACGATCTCGCGGTCCGTGAGTTCGAGCCCCGCGTCAGGCTCTGGGCTGATGGCTCAGAGCCTGGAGCCTGTTTCCGATTCTGTGTCTCCCTCTCTCTCTGCCCCTCCCCCGTTCATGCTCTGTCTCTATCCGTCCCAAATAAATAAACGTTGAAAAAAAAAATTAAAAAAAAAAAAATAAAAAAAATAAAATAAAAAAAAAAAATAAACAAAGCAAAACCCAGACTCATGGATACAGAGAAGAGAGTGCTGGTTGCCAGAGTGGGGGAGGTTTGGGGTCGGCGGGGGTGGGGATGGAAAAATGGGTGAAGGAGATCAAGAGGTACAAGCTTCCAGGTTATAAAATAGGCCATTGGGATAATAATGCATAGCACAGGGAATACAATCAGTAACAGTGACATTGTATGGTGACAGATGGTAACGAGACTCATTGCGGTGATCATTTCACGATGTACACAAACGTTAAATCACTATGCTATACACGTGAAACTAATATTGTATGTCAATTATATACTTCAGTAAAAAAGCAAGTATTGGTATGGATAAAGACTGGAAGTGCACACTCCAAAATGGGAACGGTAATGGTTGTGTGATGACGGTGGGGTGAGGGGAAATGGTATCTCCTATGAATTCTGTACTTTCTGTAATGCAGTTTTCATTACAATTTAAAAACATGAAAGAGGATATGATAGAAGAAGTGTAGCTCTGACCTCAGCCCTTCTTATAGGATGAGATAACCCCTCCCTGTCCGCTACCCTCCTCACCTACATCAGCCAGCACCTTCATTGCACCCCACAAGCACAGTGAGGGTCTGCCTCTCTCCCGGACCATGCCGAGAATGCTACCCTGCTTCCCAGGGACCTAGAGCTCACATTCAACGGGTGCTCCTTCTGCCACCACAGCAAATGGCTCTCACTGTGTGGGGAGGCTCTAAGATGCAGTCAGGCTCCTCCCAGTCCCCTGGGGAGACAGATGAGGAACCCTCCCTGCCCTCTCCTTTCTCGGAGAAAAGGGTGGGGCTGCCTGACGCTTTCCAAAAGAACATGAATATTGCCTGCGGGGTGTCTCTGTTCTGTTCTCTCTTGGAGTGAAGTCCCTCCAGGGACCTGGGAACCAGGGCGGGGTCTTTTATCCCCTGCTTTTCTGCTTCACCATCTCCTCCCACTTTCCTCCCAGGCCTCATGCCTCACATACCCCCAGGGACCCCAACCAAACTTTAAGGAGCGAAGCATTTCCCAAGTTTGCTGCTTTGGCATGACCCCTAACATACTCAGGAGGGTGACAATGATGGTGACATGGAAGTCCAAAGCAAGGCTGTCAGGGGTAAGGGGACACTGCTAGGTCATGAGCAAACAAGCTCTGGACATCTCAACACTCTAATACAAATACCACTAAAGTCTCAACAAGGCTCCCTATTCCCCATACTTCAGGCTCCAGGAAAGAAGAGGTCATTCTTAATATATCCTGGCTACAGACTCCACATTAAGAACGGATGTTAGGGCTGCCCTGCAGCCTTCTGAAGTTTATTTCGTCAGATAAGTCTGGTCTCTCATATGTACACAATGGGTAGAAAACCAGGTAATGTGTGCTTTGCACCTGGGTACCATAATATTCCCAAATGGTAATTACATATTAAGAGGAGTATAAAGCCTTCTCCCGGCATCCCCCTTGGACCAAACCATCCCCAATCTCATCCTCTTTTCTGTTCGTTTTACTCTTTGTCACACAGTTTCCTTTCTGTTGTGCTCTACTATTTGTATCCCAGGCATGTGGACCATGTCTGCCCCTGAAACAGGAGGCCCGGTGTGGGACGGGCAGCTCTGCTCAGACCCACACATGGCCGTGTAAGTGCTCTGACAGTAACCGCCATGAGGATGGAGTGTGGGGGATGAAGGGACAGGGGCAGCTGGCACAAGCGCCCCCAGGTAACCACGTAGAAAGGCACGGCCACATAGTGTGGCCCATTTCTGGGGCCCACACAAACAGTTCAACCATGCTGAGTTCCCCTCTTTCTAGACACCCTCTGCAGACAGTGTCCCTACTCAGAGAAAACAGCGTCCCCAGGGCACAGTGGTCCCCCACCATCAGGGACTGCTCGGCAGCTACCACTCTCTGGTTTGAAATGTCAAATTGTAAGGCCTCCTTTTATATGAAGACAAATGACATGGGGTGTGAAGGGCCTGGGGGAGAGAGCGAGAACGGGAGAGAGTTAGAAAGAGGGCACCGTGGCAGAAGAACAAAGGAACAGCACTCACTGGCTAGTGTCACAGTGGCTGGCACGCTGGCCACAGCTCCTGCAGGCATGCGGGCCACACACTGGTACCGTCCCACCGTGTGGTTGTTGAGGGCAGTGACGACCAGCGTCCCGTGGGTGATGAGGATGCCCAGAGCATCATCCGAGCCATTCAGCTCCTTCCCGTTCAGGCGCCAGGTGGCATTCATCCATGGGGGCTCCACCACGCAGCCCAGGATCACAGTTCCTCCCAGCTTCTGGACGGTGGAAGAGGGCTGGACAGTGACCTGGGGGACCTGGTCTGGAGGAAGAACGGGGATGTAGAAGTGAACGGACAACCTTCACGAAACCAATAACATGACCTTTTTAGAAGCACAGCCCCCAGGCAGCCTTTCAGAACTGAGCAACCCAGAGGGGTTGGTCTTTCTCTGAAGAACTCTACTGTCTTTGGTCCATTCTCCAACCTGTGCTCGTTCTCAAAGGCAGACTAGAGTGGCAGCATGACGTAGAGGCAAGAGCTTAGGCTCTGGGGTTGGACGGACCCGGGCCCCCATCCCAGCACCACTGCTTCTGACCCAGGTCACTTTTGCCTTTTTGTGTCTCCATTTCTTGCCTACAAAACGGGGCCAGTAATACTCGCTTCACAGGGTTGTCGTGAAGCTCACAACAAATGCACGTGAACTGCCTGCCATAACCTCATGTACGTCCTCAATAAAAGGCAGTTGTTAGTATTCGTTCTCCTCTGGTATATATATTCGAAATGATGATGATACTAAAATATAACTGATACGGTCTTGCCAAGATGATTTGTCATCTTGTATTCCTGAGTGTGCCCCTGGAGGCCAGTGGGAATGAGGTGTTCTTCGAAATCCAGGAAAAGGCAGGCCTTTTTAAAAGGATACTACTGAATGTGTAGTATTTCTACTTGACACGAGGGGCAAATGTTCTTTTAGACGGGCAGGCTGAGAAAGGGAAGGAAAGCACTCACTCAAGTCAGCGAAGCAGCCTGCTGCGGCTAAGAGGAGGCACGCGAGGGTGACCGCAGGCCTTTTTTCTCTCCGGGTCGTCATCATCCCATGCAGCACGGTGTCACAAAGGGTCCAAGCCAACGTCCCATAAGCCACCAGAGTCACTCAGATGGCTACTACAATCCCCTGCACTCTGTCGTGAGAAAGAGAGAAATGGCTGCGGTGAGTGACGACGCTCGGGATGCCACTGTGATAGCCACAGCGCCTGACTTTGTGCCCTTGCCCCCTGCCTCCATCACACGTGCTGGCAACATTCAGAATGTTGACCTGACCGGCTGCTGGAAGACCAAGGAACACGGTCATGTCACTTCTCATCTAGAAGAAGCTTCTTTTTAGACCCCTTGAGCTAGAAGAGGATTTTATTGTGGTACAACAGCTAAAGCCTTGCCCAGCATACCAGCAGCGACAAGGTCAGGGGAGCCCAGGACTAGAGAGGCTGGGCTCGGCAGCCACGTTCAGGGCTCCAGGCAGTGAGCGCCTCACACACATGCTGGAAAGGATGACGTGATCTTTACCATTTGCTTGCAGAAAGCCAGATGTCCACGGCCATACGGCATGCCATGCCGCTGGTACGAGACCTGTAGACAACACTGTCATGCGTGCCAAACCCCTGTAGGGGTTTGTTACTAATGAATCCTGAAGTCTCAGAGATTCCAGGAAGATCTCCTGTTTTAATTCACCCCTGGCTCTTCACCTATTTTCCTATCAACTCTCTCGATTCCTGGGATCAGCCTACCCTCCTCAGCTTGTGTGTAACCTCTACCCGCAAACACAAACACAGACAGAAGTCACACATCACCAAGGCCCCTCGCCTTCTCTTGCCCCTGGTGCTAGAATCCTAGTGTTTTCCATCTCTACAAAATTTGTACTCTTGACCATTGTCCGTGATGCATCCCCACCCCTGGAACAACGTTACTTCGAGGCTCTACACTACACTGTACCTCCAGCTACTGGATGGCGCATCTCCGCTCTCAGCCGCCCTCTTACTGTCTGCCTGGAGCTTTGACTCTGCATCTTCCACAGCAGTAATTCCTCATGCCTCCTTCCTTAAGCTACGGTCCTTAAAAGATTCACCAAAGTCATATGCAGGCAAGTGTACATTGTAACCCATACCTCTGTCACAGCTTAAATCAAGATTTGCGTCTATTGTCGTGGTACTTACAGAACTGTCGTACTTACAGAACATTAGGCCAACAAGGCCAACATCCTTCATTAGGTAGGGAGGCATTAGAACGAACTTCAGATAACATCAAAGGTAACATGTCAGTGATCTAGGCAGTGGATGCATCTTCCTGAACCATGCACATGCGCCAATACAAATAGTAGATTTCCAGGAGGGTGACCTATATTCAAACTGTCCACTCCCTTGGACCCGTTTACCTAACCAGGGACCCCATCAAAGGCCTATAGTCACCACTGAAAAGTGAAGGGAAGTAGCTAAGCTGCCCAACGGAGAGAAATATTGTGCTTACCAGTCTCCGGAATTCTGGCCACCTGTATAGTTCTGCTGTAAGAGCCTGTCTTCAGCCCTCCAACCCCATCACTCCCAACATGCAGATGGAAAGCTGGCCTTTAAGACTCTTGCTCCGTGCCAGGAAGTGCTTGGGATTTGCCTCAACCTTTCCCTTCTCTAGGCTCCTTTGTTTTTTTTTTTTTTACCTGGCTAAGTTAAGAGGGTCACATTTGCTCTGTCCAACAAGCACCCCTCCAAACCAGATCTGGGCCCTAGCCCCACACTCACGTTCAGAATGTTTTCCAAGGCAGAGTCCTTTTCCCTGGATTCTTAATCCCTCCCTTTGCTTCATGTCTTGGACATCAAAGGACCCCCAAGACTCCTCCACTGCCCTGGAAAGGACAAGGGGGCCTTTTCTGGAGGTTTGAAAGAAAATTTTTGAGGAAGCTTTTCACGTTTTTCCTGTCAAGTTACAATAATCTCCTCATGGTGTAGAGAGAACTTTTACTCTTTCTCAGACAACCCAATAAAGTTATGTTATCAGCAAAGTGCAATTAGGGAAAAAGCGGCAAAGGGGGAGTGTGGCTGGGGTGGCAGCAATGTGGGAGGGAGTCTTGCTAAGCTCTTTGCACAAGTCTTCTTTCAATCTTCATACAAACTCTACAAGGTGGGGATTGTTATCCTCCATTTTACAGGTGAGGCAGCCGAGCTCCAGAAGCTCAGTAACTTGCCCAAGGTCCCAGAACCAGAGACTGGGAATGAAACCCAGGCTGGGCTCTTTTCAAAGCTCTGTACTTTTAACCCACAAGAGGAGCCTTTTCACATTTTTTCTATCTGTGCTCTGCACCTGGTGGGTGCTTAGCAGACAGAGTTGGAGAAGGTGTGATGTAGAATGGGGAGGGATTTTAACAGTGATTTCTAGAGGAAATTTACATTAATAGATTCATAAACTAGTACCAAAACGCAAGCTTTTGGTGTCCTCTGAATTTTCCAGCTACTTGTTTCAATTCTCTACTTTTCCCCAATGAAGTAACATTTATCTAGAACACTGCATGAATTACCAATTAGAGGACTGTAGGGAACTTGATCTTGATGTGTTCCAGCTTCCTCAACTCCTTAAGAAGATTGTTCACACCTGTTCCATCTCTGCCCCAAGAAAGGAAGGAGGGGAAAGAAGGGAGGAGGAGGCAAGGACGAAGAATATGAATACAAAGCAATAAAGGGCAAAGAGAAGACAAGCAGACAAAGAGGCCAGGGGGGCTGTTTCTTATCTGAGCACAGGGAGGGGGGGCTCAAGAGGTGTTTGGGTTGTAAAGTCGACAAAGGTTTTACTGAGGAAATTCAGCCCAGACCCCCTCCTGCTTAATGAGGACCAGCCAAACAATTACTGTTACTTCTGCACCCTTGGTAATTTATAGGATTCAAAATGGAAACAGACCCCACTTTTGCTGCCGGCCACCATCCTGCTTTTATAAGCAACCAGGAGAAAAGAATGGATTTGGGGAGCAGGAGAGAGTGAGAGGAAGCAGGTATCTAAAGAGGGAGAAAGGAGTTAGTTAACTCATTAATCCCCACTACGGAGTTGAAGCAGATACCACTTAATGACCCCAAAGCAGGTCACACGGAGCCTCATTCACAAAAAGCAGAACTCTGACAAAAATAGGGAAGCAGGGGATCACTACAGCTGTGATGCATATATTTAGCAGCTAGGAAAATTGAGTTGCTTCCTGGACCAAGTTACCTAGTGAGCTTGGTCTAGAAAGATAATTCCAGAGACCTAAGTTTCTGAGAATTTTGTGGTGATGATAAAGATAAAAGGCAACTAAGGCTTATTTGGAATACCTAATTGCAGTGGAACTCTGTCCCACTGTGAAATGAACAAGATACAATTTCAAAGTTGGTTGAAGGCAACAGTAAGGCCTGTTATTTTTCTTGGCAATGCAAACTGCATCTAGATCCTTCTCATTTTCTATGCATTTTCTCAGAAAAGGGGGTAGAAATCAGAAGCCGAGGAAAGGGAAAATAAATTATTGACAAGAATTCCTGACTGCGGCTTAGGTACTTGCTAGTTTTAAGCGTTATTTGGACAAGAAAAAGAAAAGGTATCTGAGAAATTTAACTGACATACATGTTCCCACTGAAACAATCTCCACCAAGCAGACGTTTTTAAACTTTCCAAAAACAACAACAACAGAATATACTTCTGGGGTTGAGACCAATGAGAAATTATAGCCTCGGAGTATTTATTTTGTGAGAAAATTACAAACAACTGAGAATCGATCAAAAGCAGGAGGCAGCCAGCTCCACCTTCTCCAAGAGGACTGGCTGGAGCACAAGTGAGACAGAGGAACTGGAGGCCACAGCTTGTCCCTGATCCCCCAGGGCACTGCAGCTCTCTCTCGGAAAGGAAGGGAAGCCTGTGGTCTTAAACACAAAACCCACCCGTTGGATATCCTATGGCCAATAACCAAGATGAGCTAAAGAGAAGAGCATGTGATCTAACAGATACCATAGAGGGACCTATTTCTAAAAAAACAAAAACAAAACATTCTTTCAGTGACAAGAACAAGACATGACAAAGTTTCGTTCAGGGGAGCTAGCTACATGAAAAAATAAACATATTTTTAAAAAATTTTTAATGTTTATTTTGAGGGAGAGAGAGACAGAGTGCAAGCTGAGGAGGGGCAGAGAGAGAGGGAGACAGACTCTGAAGCAGGCTCCAGGCTCTGAGCTGTCAGCACAGAGCCTGACACGGGGCTCGAACTCACAAACCGTGGAGATCAGACCTGAGCTGAAGTCAGATGCTTAACTGACTGAGCCACCCAGGCGCCCCGGAAAAAAGAAATATTTCTGACCTGAAATTATTATTATTATTATTTTTTTTTTTTGCAAATTCCCAATTCTGTAGAGTAAGATTCACTTTTCCCAAAGGTCTTTGAAGGCAGGGAGAAGTTTTGCTTATAAGGGATGCTCCCAAGTGCCAACGGGGGAGAGCAAAGAGTGGGGCAGGGGTGAGTGCTGGCAGTCACCCCCCTGCCTCAAAAAGAGGGTGCGCTCCTGCTCAGAGGAGTGACATCGGGGAAATCTCAGGGAAACAAGTGATTCTAATTCTCAGAGGGCTGAAGATGTGAGTTTAAATAGACTTAGGAGAACGGTTTAAGAAAGGTCATTTTTACTTAAAAAGTTGTACTTTTACCCACAGACCTAATTAAAAAGAAAAATTTTTAATTAGCAGGGACCTCAGAGAAAATGAAATAATAGCTTAGAATAACACCTATGGGTATGGAGTGTTATAAATGAGAAAAGCAAGGGGCAGAGAGGCTAAGTGATTTGCAGAAGGTCTCCCAGCTACTTAAGAGAGATTTAGGACTCTAAGTCAGGCCTTCGGACTGCTAGTCCCGGGCTTTCTCTACTATTCCAGTACTGCCTCCCAACAAATGGTTTCTGAGGTCATATTTACCAACTTCTTGGAACTACTTTTAGAACTAAATTCGGAATATTTTTGAATCTACTTTCTTATGCAGAAAAATCATGTCATCTGGATCATTATCCATAACTTTCTCTGTGGTTATATTCATTCTTTTACCATTTACATCCTAATCTAGAACATTCTCTTACTGTTGTTCACAGATTTTCTGCAATGGTGAAAATATACTGTATTTGTACTCTAAGCGCTAGTCACTAGCCACTCGTGGCTATCAAATACTTGAAGTGTGGGTAATGTGACTGAGGAACCACATTTTTAATGTTACCAGATAGGCTGGTGGTTACCACATGGGGCAGTACAGTTCTAGACTGAGATCTAGAATAACTACGCAGACCACTCTGATGTCAAACAGGAGGGAACAGCAAAGATTTGATATTCTTAAGTTTGAGCCATGTTCTAGCCAGTCTCTAAATATAATTCTAGCTTCTTTCTTGTCCAAATTTTGTCTATTAAAAAAATTATGTATATTACGATTTCACTATTATCAGGTATAAAAAAATAATACTGTGATCTACCATTGAAGACAGCATGCAAATCCCTGTACTAAAAGATGGATTCTGTCCTGAGTAACTTACGGCTTGGGGGATTAAGTCAGTCAGTGTTCAGCACATATCCATGAGCTCCTCATTACCCAGCTGCCTCTGCAGCTGGCTTAGAGCCATGTGACTACTGCTGGCCAATCAAGTGTAAGTGAACATGTCAAGCGTCACTTCTAGGCTAAGGCTGTTAAGAGCTACAGAACCAGAGCTCTGCTTCCATTTCTCCTTTTCTCTAGTCCTGGTGACCATCACAGGTTCCAGAAAACATAGCTACAAGATGAAAGAAGTCAATGCAATCTAGGACAGGAGAAAAAATAAACCATTGTTGCAAAAAACCACTGAAATTTTGGGGATTCCTCTCATGTAACAACTTTAGCATTCTTTACTCTAAAACCTTACTTAACTGATTACAGTGGCAAGTGAGAGCAGAGGGAAGGGAGCATTTTCAATATTGGGTCTTCAGGAAAGGTTTTCTGGATAAGGG